ACAATGTTATGTAGAAGTTTCTCTATTTAAAATATTCCAAAGTAAAAGAAGCAAAACGTTCCCAGATGTCAGATAATTGGAAATAAATTAAAATATGTCTTGTAAAACTTACATTTATTTATAAGTTAAGTTGACAATGCTTTTGAGACCCATTTGGAACGTAATGATTTGTTATCTATCAGACCTGTTATCAAACACGATCTTGTACAAACATTACCTGTGAAATTAAGTCCACATGTAGTTAAATGTACCTGTTGAACATTCCTCCTGGTTTTTCATAAGATGGAAGTGACGGTGTTGTCATGGAAACGCCATGCACGAATTTCGTACCTGTTGTGATTGGGTGTTCTCGTTTGTCTGATTTTTGTAAAAGAAATTAATGTATTGTGTAAATATTGATACTAAAGTTGATATTTTTGTGAATTCATTTGATCATTTAGATATTAAATTATAGGATATTTCCATTACAGCAAACCTCTTCACATTATCAATCAATAATCATATAATACCATCACCGAAATAGTCGAAATACGATAGAGACAAATATGATTTATAACAAAAATATTACATTGGTACACAATATAAAGTATACATTGATTGATACACAATATATAGTATACATTGATTGATACACAATATATAGTATACAATGGTTAATACACAATATATAGTATAAATTGGTTGATACACAATATAAAGTATACATTGGTTAATACACAATACATGGTATACAATGGTTAATGCACAATATATAGTATACATTGGTTGATACACAATATATTGTATACATTGGTTGATACACAATATATAGTATACATTGGTTAATGCACAATATATAGTATACATTGGTTAATACACAATATATAGTAACATTGGTTAATACACAATATATAGTAACATTGGTTGTGCACAATATATAGTATACATTGGTTGATACACAATATATTGTATACATTGGTTAATACACAATATATTGTATACATTGGTTGATACACAATATATAGTATACATTGGTTAATACACAATATATAGTATACATTGGTTGTACACAATATATTGTATACATTGATTGATACACAATATATAGTATACATTGGTTGATACACAATATATAGTATACATTGGTTAATACACAATTTATAGTATACATTGGTTAATACACAATATATTGTATACATTGGTTAATACACAATATATAGTATACATTGGTTGGTACACAATATATAGTATACATTGGTTGTACACAATATATAGTATACATTGGTTGATACACAATATATTGTATACATTGGTTGTACACAATATATAGTATACATTGGTTAATACACAATATATAGTATACATTTATTAATACACAATGTATAGTATACATTGGTTGTACACAATACAAGTATACATTGGTTAATACACAATATATAGTATACATTGGTTAATACACAATATATAGTATACATTGGTTGTACACAATATATAGTATACATTGGTTGTACACAATATATAGTATACATTGGTTGTACACAAGATATAGTATACATTGGGTGATACACAATATATAGTATACATTTATTAATACACAATGTATAGTATACATTGATTGTACACAATGTATAGTATACATTTATCAATACACAATGTATAGTATACATTGGTTGTATACAATATATAGTATACATTGATTGATATGGACTTCACATGTTGGTATCGAATAAAATAACACATTTCTTTGATGAACAACTTTATCTCCTACTTGTAATGTATAAACCTTATGACGATATACTTGTATTTGTGTAACTTCAAACTTTGAATGTTTAGTTACATTCCAAGGTATTTTCCGTAAGTTATTTATACCTTCTGGACGAAAACGGTAAATAAATCTCCCTAAAAAAATTATATTTTATCTTGTACAGATAAAAGTGTAAAATCTACAAATTAATTTGTAAAATTTACAGATTAATGTGTGTAAAACATAATATAAAAAAGTTTTAAAGTTGCACTTATACGCTTCCATACCTTGGGCATGTTATTTAGCAGAGGTTCTTTCAACTGTATCTCCATTCGCACAATTTGTAAAAATTATCTGTAAATTTTACACTTTAATCTGTAAATTTTACACTCTTCTCTGTAAATTTTACACTTTAATCTGTAAATTTTACACTCTTTGTAAATTTTACAGATTAAACTGTGAATTATTAGTGTAAAATTTACAGATTATTGTGTGTAAAAAAGTTTTAAGTTGCAGTAATACGTTTCCGTACGAAGGTAATGGTTTCAACACAGGAGTTAAAAGCTACAGCCTATCTAAAAAAAAAAAAAAGAAAGAAAGAAAAAACGTTTATCGATATTTTCTTCCTGGTTTTTGTTCGTTTTGTTTTCATAATGTAAAATGCCATATCAAGTAATTACAAGTATTCCAGAATATTCTCTTTGGGTTGGTTATGTAAATAGACGTTCTTATAACACAACCGAAGAATTTCGTACACTCCATAACGTCAGTGCTAAACCGCCTCACGCGGGGCTGTGGTCATTTGTCTGAAGAAGATGACAATACTATCCATTCAATCAGGTGAAGCGCAGGAAAAATAATCCCAATGTTTATAAAACCTACAGCGTTAAATCGGTCGAGAGTGACAGCGTATTAATTGCAACAAAAGGAACTGAAATAAGTGTATTGATCCATCCGCCATATCAATGACGAGAAATTTTTACTTTCGTGTGGCTCAAACTTCATATTTTTTCTTTCTTTCAAAACAATAAAACACCAATGAAAATTATTATTTTTTACAATATTAATATTCCATCCAGTGGTCGAGGTAGTAAGGACGAACGGACTACAGTAACCACTCTATCACCCCACACAGTAGTCAGTCATACAACAGTGAGGACGAACGGACTTAAGTAAAAATCTACCTCCCCTTACAGCAGTCAATCACACAACAGTGAGGACGAACGGACAACAGTAACCATGGTACCATCTCAAACAGTGGTCAAAGTCACACAACTGTGAGGACGAACGGACTAAAGTAGAAATCTACCTCCCCATACAGCAGTCAGTCACACAACAGTGAGGACGAACGGACTACAGTAACCATGGTACCATCTCAAACACGGTGGTCAAAGTCACACAACTGTGAGGACAAACGGACAATAGTAACCATGGTACCATATCAATCAGTAGTTTAAGTGACGTAGCATGAGGACGAACAGACTACATTAACCGGTCATTTTACCATTCTAAACAGTAGTCAAAGTGACGTAACATGAGGACGAAAGGACTACATTAACTGGTCATTTTACCATCCTAAACAATAGTAAAAGTGACGTAACAGAGAGGACGAACAGACTACAGTCAGCATTTGATCACTCCACACATAAGTCAAAGTGATGTAACAGAGAGGACGAAAGTTTGAAATTATCAAACGTCAGAATTATGAAATCTATTGAACTGTGAGGCAAATGCACCTCCCATCTAGATTTTGATATATATAATTCGAACGATTTTGATTGACATCAGTCGCCTCCTATGCATCAAATAGTAAATCATTAAACTATTAATACTGAAGTCTTGGAGAAATCTCTATTAGAATCTAGTTTTATTGATAATTGTTATATATATATGCCAAAACTTTACATCTTCCGACGTGGTGCAGGGATGTCACTTTGTGACATTTTCGTCAGTAATACATTCCGATACCGTATTATGGAATGAAAAAATGATTTGCGGCATACTTCCAATCAATTTTTCACAATGCAGTGTGTCATTTTTTGATCCATTGCTATAACATGTAACCCGTGCCTGTCGCACTAGTTTGGTCAAAGTTAAAGGGAAATAACTCCGTCAGCCTCGAAGAATTCTCAACGCAATCACCACAATATCAAAATGTAGATAGATTGATACAAATGATGTTTCGCATTTGTAGCATTTTCATTTATTTTTATTTTATCTTAGGATTTTTACAGATACAGATACCTCCGTGTTTGGGAACGACATACAGTATACTATTCAAAGTTTCTCTGCAGAAAGGACCTCTTTCAGGAGCAAAGGAATTTTGCCCACACACCAAATCAAGTAAAAGTGAGTTATTTTTGTAGCACCCTGAGTGACTACCCACGAAATAGGGTAAACAATTCAAAAGGTCCATAGGGCCTGTGCTATGATCCATATAGTGTTAGAGTTGTAACGATACGAGTATGACAGGATTAAGTTTTTTCATCCGAAAAAGTAATAAAACCACAGCATACATTACCAAATAATATACTGTTTGATCAACAAGGATCAGTTTGACAATGTGGTGGTATATATGTATCAAAATAGCATAAAATAAATTGGAATAATAATAATAATAAAAACACCACACATAGTTTCAAAATTTAAAAAACGTGATTCATGTACAGTTATTGAATAAAATCTGTTTTGAACAAACTAGATTCGCAAATCCAAGTATGATATAGAACATGCACATACATGTACAACATGTGTACGTCGGGATAAATAAGAATCCAGAATTTATTATGATGCAATAACTAGAATAATTTTGCGCATGCTATGGTGTAAAACATGTAGACGTTTATCACTGTTCCTAATAAGCCTCGAACTCACCAATAGTGATAACCGTTCTTACCTGTTCAGTGTCGATGTCTTGTCGCTAGATGGCAGCAGAAATGCAATTTCCGGTTTTGTGATAGGTAAACGTCAAAGTCCACTCAGGTGTAAAGTATTTCTCCAGCCATGTAAACACACGACTTGACATGTCTATAGCTTAAGTGATTATTGATAAACTGGGTTCGGGAATATACTCTGACTTCAGAAGCAAATCCATGTGTCTGAGAAATGGAATTTAAACGGGTATCGTGTTGTTGTGAAACGAAAGAAAAAAAGCAGATATATTTTGAGAGAAGCAGGTGGCAGACGATCGATTCAGTACGGTACTGTAGACCAAGTCATTAAGCATTGTGCGGATCACCACTTCTGCTAATGGAATCGATTGTCAGGAAGTAGCGCTATGGCATCTTCTAATTTGTCTGAAAAATCGTCGTCGAACTCATCTGATATCCAGTACGCTGCTTCTACAGGAACATTTCTTGTTTTGTTCATTTTGGCAGGGACTATCTGCAACGGTTTGATAATAGTTAGTATACTGTCTTCGAAAAAACTCAGGAGTTCCGCTTTTCATTTACTGTCAATAAACCTTGCAGTTGTTAACATTTTGGAATGTCTCCTGAACATGACTTTCAATTTGACAACTGTCATGTCAGAAGATACGTTGAAGGGTGTGAGCACTGTTTGCAAAGTAAACGCCTTTTTTATAAGTATTGTATGGATCGAATCCATTCTGGGCATTACATTTATGGTTGTTGAAAGAATGGCAGCAATGAAAAATACAGACAAAATTGATGTTATACAACGACCGAAACGCATTGCTATTATGGTAGCATACACCTGGGTGCATTCAACTGCATTCAGCCTCCCTCTTGCCACCGGTCTTGTGCCTGTTAGTGTTTATTCTGACATCAACTCCTGTCTCATTTCGGTAAAATCTTCAGCTGCCTATATTGGAACTTTGTGCCTCTGTTGTCTGATAGGTCCAATTGTTGTGACTGTGATCTTATATATTATAACCATGAAAAATGCCTTTGCCGAAAAGTCCTCAGTTCAGGCTCAAATGACTCGTCATCAATATTCTAATGATGTTGATGAACCAAACTTTTATAAGGAATTCGCCGGAGCAAAATTTTCTGGAATAATTTTAATAAGCTGGATATTCTTGTCTGCACCATTTGTGGTATCTATCTTTGTGTATTTATATGGATACAGTGGCATGAATTTAGATTCTGGGTTAAAAACATCACATTCATCTATTATGTATTTTTTGCTACTTTGGTTAAAGTATTGTAATGTTTATATTCTTCCGTTATTTTCACTTTGTTATAAAAAAGAATTTTGGTTAAATTTTAGAGACGTTTTATTTTGCAAGAAAAAGAACTCTGTAAATGATGTTGCGAACAAAAACAACAGATTGAGTCTTGATAGCCAAGATAAGATAGAGAGAATAGAATCAGGAGAAAAGAAAATAAAAGAAGAAAAAATGAAGGAAGCATTTATTCACAATTCTGGATTTCAAGTTCCAGTGTTATTTGCCACAGCAAAAGGTGTACATATACAGACATCCGAGTCTGAAGTTATTGTTGATGATCATGGGACTGTTGGAAAGAAATGTGATGTGTTTGGATCTCAGGAGAAGCTACACCAATTTGGAGAAGACACAAGTGACTATGATTCTAGTAATGAGCTGGATCCATTTTCTGTATCACACCCAGTTTCCACAAAAAATTTAAGAAACCAAACTCATACTTCATTGCAACATAGATCTAGCTCACAGCCAGAAGTCAGAACTAAAGGGCAGACTTCTGACCAACCAACATCTATTACAGTCACCTCAGCTGTCGATTCAGGATTGGACATCAGTGGTATGAATAAGAGTGGACGTTACTCAAGTCCAAATTTGACGTATGACAGGAGTGTGTCTTGTCCTTCAGGGGATACCAATACATCGCATCAATCATTCATTTCAACATCACAAAATACAATGGATACCACAGTAAGTGAAAGCAATGTGAACAGTACAAGCTCAAATGCTGAAGACAATCAAATACCAGAAACAGAATTATTTGCTCAAAAAGAGGGATGTGAAAACCATGCATATAGTGCTGACACAAGTGATATAGAAAGGTGCAATAACTCATCTGGTCAAAGACAGACTGACCAAATGAGTGACCAGGCAACAGATACTGAGATTACATTAGACAAAAATATTCCAGGTTTACAAGATGGTGCTGCCACTGGTTGTATTGTGGTGAAAAATGAAGTTTTAAACCTACCAAGCAATGATAGTGTGGACATTTCAGGTGTCATGCCAGCAACACCAAGCAAAAAGAAAAAGAAACATAAAAAGCAAAATAAGAGTTCAAATTACACTGGAATTTTACGAAATGGAAGTGAGGAGCTGAGTCCTCCTAGACCTCCACCAAGACTGGCACCATTACAAGGTTGTCACCAGCCTCTGTATCAGAGAATGACTGAAACAGAAACTGCTGCATCATCTGATGTTCCACAGAACAGTAATTCAGAAGGGGCAACGGGAGTTACATCTCACAAAGCTGCAGTATATGAAGTAAAACATGACAGAAAGACAAAAAACAAAACAAAACAAAGAAATGCTGACAGTCAAAGCCAAACTTCATTACTAGATTCTGGAAGTTCTGCAGAATTAAAATGTTTGAAAGATTCTATGTTTGGTGTATCAGAATCTGATGGATATTCCTCACAAGTGTTGGAAGTTACAACACCAAGTGCTTGTAATCTGGTAGATCTTTCTAAGGAGTTTGGACGCATTTCTCCAAGCCAGACCCAACATTCTCATGCAGATTGATATTGTAAGTATATATATTAAATGGAGTATCAGTTCTTTTTCACAGCAGAGGTTTTTTCTTGTTTTTTTTCATCTTAATTGCAAGATGATGTCAAATTTATTTAACATTTGATAATTCAATACTATGGCACTTTAAATCTAATGTAATGAAGACTTGTTGGAACTCATACACATTATTTATCCAAAATATGTATAAGCCTTCAAAGTGCCTTTTAAAGTCTGATACTACTAATAGGGTAAGTCATTTGAAGGATTAATACCTTATTTTCTCAACAATAATGCCATGTCTAATAAAAAGCCCATCAATTTATATGCTGTTCAGTAAGATTACACACCAATGCGTGCTGATTTGTTGCCTGTGATATGCCCACTTCTTTATTTTGAGTAATTATGTGTTGTCATATTAAGGAATTATTGCTGGATAGATGTCAAAGACAATTACATACAAGTCTTTTTATAATCTGAGGATTCCGTTTCTGTGGAAAGCATATTTAGCATTATATAGCTAAAGGTATTGATTCCGAGATGAAGTCCTCTACACTTGTTAGTGTTGGTAAAAATTTGAAATGTACATTTGTGTTTGAGATCATTATCAAATACAAAAGTGAAAAGTCCACACTCTGTACTAAGATTATATTCAGACTTCAAAATACCTGGATGCCAAGTAATATGAAAAGGGCCATGTTTTGTAAGTTTGCAGTCTAATACGATATCGTCGCTGCATTCCTGGTGACCGATAGTCAACTTTAAACCTTATTTAGAACAGGATGTATATGAAGTGATCAATAAGCTAGTCCATGATATAAGGCAATCTATTACACCCCTCAGCCCCGCCCCCCACCCCGCCAACCCCAACCTGACTACTTTAAGAAAATCTGGATCAGATTTTTTGATAATGATTAATGATTTATAAGCACATTTTGTATAACCTGTTTAAATCCTTCAATACTCAGTATTTCTTGACTGAGGTGAGAGGGTAGTGAAGAGGTAATTCATTCAAATGTCACTTACATGATTCCAGGCCATCTTGTTATAGGGATTTCTCAATGTATTGAGTCACCTGTCCAACCACACTGGGTTTTCCCAGGAACTCCAGGGTTTGTTTCCTCTCACAGTGAGAAAATTCCATGTGCTTTTCATCCAGTCCAACATTATAGTTATTAATTGAAGTTGAAATGTACAATGTATCTTTTTTTTAGAATCATTAAAATGTAAATAAATATAAACTTGTTCATTTTACAACAATTGTAAAACAAGTTATCACTGCCTATACTAATCACTCTTGTTGGTGCAAATGAAAGCGTGTGAGGAGTCTTACATATGTATTGTGGGAGAAAACTGGAACACTCAGGGGAAATAACCAGAGTGGTCGGGCAGGAGAACTGTTACCCATTATCCTTTACGGGAAATAAACTCTGCATGGCTAGGTGAAAGACTAGTGTTACCACTGCACCACCTGACCATCCTGATATAAATTGAATTAAAATTTTGATTGCCGGTAAGCTGTTAATTCTTAATTTTCCTGGAATTTTTGTTAACTTGTATGACAAGTCCAGATGAAAGTCTATAGAGAGCCAGTGATTTTTGTAGGATATTTTCAGGCAAGTCATGAATACCATTTCCAAACTTTTTCTGAGTCCCATCACTCAGATATAGTAGATCCTCAAGATTTTAGTAAGTCCCAAAGGAACAATCCAAGTCCCAAAAATAACTCTAGAACAGTTTGCATGATTGTATGTAATTACAAAGGAAGATTTCCTGACATGATATAGCTTGATTTGCATATATTCATAAACCTCAGTTAGCTTAAGGTTGGCAAAGTGAATTCCTGTAGATGACACAATTTTAAATGTGCATGTGTCATATTTTTTAAAGACTAGATCACTTAATCATAGTTTTCAAAGCAGTCATTTAAAGTTTAATTTGAATTTTCTTTTTATAGATAATTAAATCAATACAATGGAATGGTTTCCAGACCCTGAGTCAGGATATTATAATTCATAATTAGCTATGCTGGGGTATTATGGCAATTGCAATCAGACGAATGGCATACATGATTTGTATACTGTGCTGGTAAGGTGCCAGTTACTTAATGTTGTGACACATTGTATCTCTGACAAATAAAAAGTATTAGAAATTTCACAGATTAGTAAATACAAATTGGATAGTAACAAATTTACATGCTAGAAAAAAAGAAACTAGTAGCCTGTTAGTTTCCTTTTTTTCTAGCAGTTTTGTTACTATTATGGCTAATAATCTGGAAGCTCATTCATGAGCAAAGCCTCTTACGATAATTCTGAAGTTTTGCTATATGCAATGTTTGAGACCAAAAATTTTACAAAGCACCGACCTAGTACATTCAATGATTGGTAGTGTATTTTTTCAGCAATAAGCCAGTAGTTTTTGTAGGATTTTTGTCAGGGGAATCCAGAACACCAATTCTAAAATTTTGATGAGTCCCAAGACTATAAGTGGGTTCTCAAATTTTCAGTGAGTCCCATAGGAGAAACTTCAGTCCAGGACTTAGATATCTGAGTCTCCAAAAATCGCTGATATTGACCTAAGTGAGCCAACATGCAAATTCTGACTAAGTCATGTCCTATAGCAGAACAGTTAAATGTCATTTTTTGATATAGTTGACTGAACAACATTAGGTGGGTTTATTACCAGGCATAGGCTTATTACATGATGAATATATGGAAGGTTTGGTTCATGAAAAGTACATTTTACATAAATTGAAATTCAATTTATTTGGTTTTATACATGTATATAGACTTAAATACACTTACCATTTAATAGATGTCTTCGTGTTTAACTTAGATTGACTGAAATACATTATTTATGTATCTTTAATTTGATCTAAAAAGATTTATCATTTTTATACATATGTTTTTATTCAGACATCTTTGTATATGTGTATTTACACTTGAGGGTATTAAGATAAATACTTGTACCTACATTTCGTAGACGCTAACTGTGTATGTTAGGAATTTAGGTTTGTTTTCCTCTATAAGCACCTACTGGTTGTTATATTGGTCAGGATGACAAAAGTGTAAATATTTGGATATTTAAGAATTCAAGTCTTGAATAAATAGGCTTCAGGTCTAATATGGTTTGTAATGATACACTTGGTTAAAATTTTTCAGACTTTAATGTTGCTTTTGTGGGAATCAATGGACAAATATGTGAAGTTTGTAGTGTATAAAACATTTTTGGTTTAATCTGTTGCATGCTTAAAAGAGTTAAGTAATTAATAAGTTTTATTAACAGATGGAATTCTAAAAGCAGCATCAATATCTTGGCTTGTATCAAATAATATTGCAGTTATTTATATTGTACTAATCAATATGTCATATACCAGCTGGTAGACTAGTAACACAAACCTGTCTTAAAGGCCTGATATCTGTAAACAAATACAACTGTCTAAAATGTCACTGATTATTCATAATGATTGAACCTTTTTTGAAAGACCATTCGTATATTAACAAATACCTGTCTACAAAGGCCACTGTACATTAATGAATATGTACCTGTCTGCAAAGACCACTGTACATTAATGAATATGTACCTGTCTACAAAGACCACTGTATATTAATGAATATGTACCTGTCTACAAAGTCAACTGTACATTAATGAATATGTACCTGTCAACAAAGGCATCTGTACTTTAATGAATATGTACCTGTCTATAAAGGTCTTGGGTTTAGGTACCAAGGTGATACAGTTTATGTTAATCGTCATGTAAAAGTCGCCTGACTATAAAGGGCAATTTTCTCAGCTCCCTGATTAAATGACTGTCATATTAGAGCTGGTTTGACTGTATGTTTTCTTTGAAAATTGGAATTCAAAAAATGTTTCGATGATAAAATGGCATGTTTTAGTACATTTTCTGGTCAACAGAATTATTTCACAAATTTGCCAACTTAACTTTGAAAAGTGGAAAAACGAATACTTTGGTTTTTGAAATTGCTTTGTGAAATATATGAGTATGTCTTCAAACATTACCTTTATTTATCTATAGATGAAAGTTTAAAGCTAATTCTTCACTTGAAGGTTGTTCTATAAAAAAACTAGACCACGGTAGACTTGGCCAATTACTGCCTAGTGTGTGCACAGTTAAATAAGGATTGGCAAATATTTAGTGTGAATCAGAACATTTACTTAGAAACTTTGAAAGTGTGACATTATAAGATTTGTTATTAAAGTCTGTAGGTTGTTATATTCCACATTCAGTTTTAAATACGAACATTTCCAGAAGTATATCATTTAGTGATCTCACTATATATAAGTTTTTCAAATTTTTAATATGTTGGTTGTTGAATTCTGTCAGAATGAATGTGTGCCAAGCAATGCAGCAATCACTGGTAATTTGGACCTCTTGCAGCTATATTGATATCAAGATGTAATTGATAAAATATAGGAATTTGTGCTTTATCATGAGCCAAAGGTGCCAGCACATAATCTTTGACCAAAAAAAGAATCAGTTCTGAAGGTCAACAGGCTTATTAATTACAGTACAATGAAAAACATTTGTTTGACAGTTTACAGGACTAAGTGTATTTATATAAATGTATGAAATAGGCTTAGGGCTGGATTTATACATTATCATATTTAGTGTATGCTTATCTGATAATAAGACCCTACCTGATACAATAAGCCAAGAAAGTTGAAGTCAATCAAGTCATTCAGAAAAGCAAATAAGTTTCATCAATTCAATGTTAATGACTGCTATCAAGCTTCATCAGGACATACATTTCATAAAATGTTCACCCCTAAGTACTAAAAAAACCCCATGATTTTTCTTTGCCTTGTAATAAGCTTGTCCCTTGACTTTGTATTAGAAGTAATATGTTTGGCTTAATTCAGGAATGAAACCTGGCTGTAGCAAATTAACTACCGAAATTTTGTCATTTTGTTAAAACACATTTCTATTTTGTAAAATGATTCCCTAAATTTTGGCACCCTGTTACATCTGCTTTCTGTTGATGATTGAAGGCATG